ATAGATCTTCTCCATGTCTTGGTCTGAAATTTTTTGTTAGCGCAATATTTTTTTTATTTCAAGGGAGTGTCAATAACTTGTGTTTTCAGTTTCATTCTGCTTGTACACCACTGCCAATGTAGACTTTAAAAATTTTCTTTCACTTGGCAATAACGATGTAAATCATGATCAGGAATTGAACCCACGTTTTTAGGTTGATAGCGCGCTGCACCAACATGAATCATACTTCAATAGCAGGAACCCATGGCACACGTGGGTGGTGTGCCCAGCACCATGCCCCGGTGCCTCCTTCCCTGCAGTCTCAGTACAAATGTGAACTGACTGCAATATAACTCATTGAAGACTGAGTGGACACAGGAAGTCCACTGAGCAGATGGAGAGACAGAATGAGGTCGTGAGCAGGTGCTCGGTGGACTGTTACATCACGCCGATCTTGATTAATGGCCACAGCTTGAAGAGGCATTAATCCAGCAGTGGATAGATCATGGCTGATGATTATGATGATGGGCATAGGGGAAATCCAGCACAGGTTCGGAGACTACTTGGCGCTGTTATCCGTGCACGAGTATTGAACCAAGGTTGCCAATGTGAGACTTACGCTCCGTTACACACACACAGAGACTGTAAATATATTTTGTATCGCCCTTTCTTATTTTAACAGTGGATTTTTTTTAAAGATATGTTGAAGTGAGGGTGGCCGCTTTGAAGTAGGGCTAGGGGAGGGATGTTGTGCGTTTGACACTGAGCCTCATGGAGTTAAGTCTCAGGGCAAGGCTCAGCGAGCGCTAATACAATCCGCCGGATAAAGTCCCAGCCTGAATCCATTACCCACGTATAAGAGCAATGTCAGATCGGTTTCCACTATGGAGAGAGAGGGAGTGAAACTCACATGGTATGATTTTTGGAAGATCACAAAACCATCAACCAATGTGCTAAAGAACACATGCACATATATCGTGCATGTGTACATGCATGTGTGTGTGCGTGTGTGGGCATTTCGACACTTCACGTGGCCTTAACGTGCGCATCGCCTGGCACAAGCCCCGTCGTGACGTCACCGCCACTTAATGGCGGTTGTTGTTGCTGTTGTTGCACTGCTATAAATCCCAATAACCTGCTTCTCCTTGTGGCAGGTGCTATCAGTATTTGCATATATGGTCTATCGGGCTAAATGGGCCATATTTGTCTTTTACTTGTAATACTGTAGAGCAGTTTATTCCCTGCACGACACTCCCAGCTACCTGTGTTCAACTCCTAGCCATGCACAACAACATACAGTAATTACCAATTATAATATGAAACTTAGGCCGTGTATCTTCTAGGTTAACTCAGCCTAAAATAATGCACCTGAAGGGTTATGGTTAACAACAGCACTTCGGAGACAAGGACAGTTGGCCCTGCATGATTTTGGACATACCACAACATACAATTGTGGGCCATGCCAGCCTTAATAGGAGCTCGCTAAGAGAACTCACACCCCCAAATTCTACGTGGCTGAAATGGGATCTTTGGCTAGTTTATAAGAGTGCAACAACCAAATAGGTCACGTGTTCAGATATAAACAGTATATCGCGCTAATTGTTCCCACCTTGCGTCTATTAAAATAAATATGAAACCAAATGTAAACAGATGTTTTGTATGAACACCAGCTAATTAAATATGCGGTACTATGAAAATGAACTCCGTCTTTTTTGTCATGTTGATGACCAATTAAAATAAAATAAAATTCTCATTTAATCAATATGCACGCGCTGAGTCTACACAATCATTATTTCACGAAATTTCACCTTATAATGCATTAGAAATGTTTGATCTCATAAATGTGACTCATTGCGCTTGAACCCGCGGAGCAACGGGACATTTCTCTGCGGTTTGAATTAATTTCCTTCGCATCAACGCCCACTCATTTCCTCCAGTCCCCGCTGCTTGTGTGTAGACATACCACCTCCGCTCCCCCCAACCACTCATTCACCTCGTCCCTCGCATGACAGACCCCCCCTCAACCACCCACCCACCTCGTCCCTCGCCCGACATCCCTCTGGCTCGGCGCTACTACAGTCCAAGCCAAGCAGCTACCCAAAAATACCTCTTCATCTGAAAATATAATGAGGCGGACGCCATTGGCATTGCAAGTTGCGTTGGCACAAGCACACGTTAACTCAAAGAACGCATTCGTAAATAGCACTGTTCCCTCAAAAGCATATAAATAGAACAGGCGACGTTTCAGGCAACGGTCCTTCTTCACAGCACATGCGAAGGTGCCTTTGTAATTATGCTTTTTGAGAGCAGTTCCGGTTTTTTTTGTTGGTTTCTTTTCTCTTTCTCTCCCTTCACATCGAAGCCTTGGGATCATCTGCATGGGCCATTAAGCTGCAGCAGGCATCGGATGCGTCCTTTTGTTGTGGGCTTTATTTTCGGTCAAGTGTCAGGTTTGTCCGCGTGAAATTGAATGTTGCATAGACAATGGGAGGAAGACTGTCAGAAAATGAGAATCAGGAACACTGGGAAATAAAATAAAAGTCAAACTGTAAATAATCTGCACACGCGTGGAGTGGCGCATTAACGCGCGCACACACGGACCAGGAACGCAAGCTTCTTGTGGAACGTTGGGGCAACGATTGAGGTAATCATGAAAAAACACACACAAAGAGATGATTTGGCCGGAACCATGCCGTGCCTGGATGTTTTTGGCGACCCCTGATGTGAACGCACTGCAGAATGTGGTCATTTTAAGGCAGCGATTTATTTTGTGACTTTATCGGTAAAAATGTACTCATGAGACCGGCAATGATGGTGCCAAGATCACTGCAATGATGGTAACAGCAACATTGTGCCTGTTGCTACTTTGATTGCGCTGTTCTTGTTTTCATGGAAATTAAACATTTTGTTTCGTCGTATGTAAAATGTCAGATATGAAATGACAGTCGCTTGAATAAAAAGCAAGTATACATCTACAGTGCTTTGTTTTTGATTGAGTCAACGGAGGGATAGATGGGCCGTAATCATCAATTTGCAGAAGCCCTTTTACAGATCCATGACGGTGCCTTGGTGATGCTGATAATCAGTAAGGTAGTGCAAACAGAGCTCGTGAGACATGAACACAAATATACACAGAGACAACTAAAGGACACCCCGAAAAAAATATTTCAGTTGTATAGAAAATATATATATACGAACGAGTGATAACCATTGTGCAATTAGCTAATGAAATCGATATCAAAGCGGAGCGCTATCTATTGTCTTAACTGTGACCGTCAATACAGCGTTGTGTATTCTGGGCTTTAACATAATCTATAAGAAGGGTTGGAGAGTGTTTCAAAAGCCTTGAGCCAATTGTGGAAATTCCACATTGCCGTGGTGTTGTGTCCTAGTCTCTTTATACGATGAGCATTGTTGAATTTCCACCAAGTGGCACTCGTTTGATTGACCCCAGAGAGATAATAAAGCTGAGTTGACTCTTGACCGGGATTTCACTTCTTCTGACTCTTCTTCTGAAATCAAAGCATCATAACCAAAGCGACACCAGTCATATAAACCTATATTGCAACAATAGATTAATCAATGACACTGTGGCCTTAAAATGAATAATATATAAAAGGTGACATTCTGGCCAATGACCCTTATCCACAGCACACAGAAGATGGATCATTGCCCAAAATATCACCGATTATATGTTTCCTTTCAAGGCCACATTTGTGAATAACACTCCCCGAAAGAGGAAATCTTATATATAATGCGATGTATCCGGCAATGGCCCTCATATCAGCTCACATATCACCTATTCTATATTGTTCCATTTTAGAGCAGTCTTACTAACGTTTGTGTTTAACTTTTTTGGTTTTCGTACTGTTGCAAACCTTCCAAAGCAGCAGCAGTACCAATTCATTTGGTTATGCTTACAATAGACTATGAGATCAGCTTATATTATAAACTTACGTTTGTCTTTTTACACCACCGATTACTCCCAAACTGTAATATCAGGCATATGGCAAAGACATACATTCCTAGATTATGGTTAACGTCAGGATAAAAACAAAAAATAACCTCCGATACCTTGTGGACTCATCCATTGTGGACGTGGTTATTGCGTTACTGGGCTGAGACCATTAAAGTCACCACACATGACAACCGGGCATGAGTCTGGAATCAAACCCTGGTTCGCTGCTCTGATGCTCGAAAATCATTGTCCTTATTAACCCTCCCGGCCACGTGCTATCCTCCCTACATCACTTTATATGACATCTGCATGTATTGAAATAGCGCATAAGAGTCATCAACACCGTACATGCAGTTACTTATCCAAAGCTCCCTGGGGCCTTGTTTAACGCGGTGCAAGCAGGAGATTAATTTAAACGATGGGAAGTCCAACTGGCGACGTGCAGCATGTATCCATTCATCAGGCGCCAGCCACACTGCGCCACACTATGCCAGCTTCTGAGAATCAGCTGTGCAATCGAATGTGTGCGATGCTCCCGCATGCCCACACATTGTACATCCACCTTCGCGACGTCTCTTTGACTTGAACAAATTGTTTTTAATACTGAAGTGTTTGCCTGCAGTGCGTGTCTTGCTGCAACCACCAGCGTCCGCCCTTCAGTTCCATCATTCTAAACACACTGAGTCATCTCTCTCAGCTTCCCACCAAAAACCATCAGAACATTCCCATAGGTGGCTGCAAAGGTGATTTTTGCATAGGGAATTTCATGCAAAATATCAATTAGCATTTTGCCTCACAATATTGAAGATTAAACGGACTGCTGGCTTGTCACTGTAAAACTATTTACATCGTGAAAAAAATACAGCTTTACTGTTCGATGCACGTAGAGTTATAGAATTTAAAATGTCTGCGTAGAGTTGGCTGCATAGGGTAGACAATGCATTGGGTAGACAATGCATTGGGTAGACAATGCATTGGGTAGACAATGCATTGGGTAGACAATGCAGCCCTCCCCAGAAACCCTGACTAATGGAGGAGGCCCACTTTCATCGTCTGAAACATCTCACGTCCAAGAACAAGGAGACTTACTGGAGAGCCGTGCTGAGCCTGCAAGGAAGAGTGGTGGACGCATGAAGAGTGGTGGACGTAGTAAGAGTGGTGGACGTAGTAAGAGTGGTGGACGTAGTAAGAGTGGTGGACGTAGGAAGAGTGGTGGACGTGGGAAGAGTGGTGGACGTAGTAAGAGTGGTGGACGTAGTAAGAGTGGTGGACGTAGTAAGAGTGGTGGACGCATGAAGAGTGGTGGACGCATGAAGAGTGGTGAACGCATGAAGAGTGGTGGACGCATGAAGAGTGGTGGACGCGGGAAGAGTGGTGGACGTAGGAAGAGTGGTGGACGCATGAAGAGTGGTGGACGTAGTAAGAGTGGTGGACGCATGAAGATCGGTGGACGCATGAAGAGTGGTGGACGTAGGAAGAGTGGTGGACGTAGGAAGAGTGGTGGACGCATGAAGAGTGGTGGACGTAGTAAGAGTGGTGGACGTAGTAAGAGTGGTGGACGTAGGAAGAGTGGTGGACGCATGAAGAGTGGTGGACGCATGAAGAGTGGTGGACGTAGTAAGAGTGGTGGACGTGGGAAGAGTGGTGGACGTAGGAAGAGTGGTGGACGTAGTAAGAGTGGTGGACGTGGGAAGAGTGGTGGACGTGGGAAGAGTGGTGGACGTGGGAAGAGTGGTGGACGCATGAAGAGTGGTGGACGTAGGAAGAGTGGTGGACGTGGGAAGAGTGGTGGACGTAGTAAGAGTGGTGGACGTGGGAAGAGTGGTGGACGTGGGAAGAGTGGTGGACGTAGTAAGAGTGGTGGACGTGGGAAGAGTGGTGGACGTGGGAAGAGTGGTGGACGCATGAAGAGTGGTGGACGCATGAAGAGTGGTGGACGCATGAAGAGTGGTGGACGCGGGAAGAGTGGTGGACGCAGGAAGAGTGGTGGACGCATGAAGAGTGGTGGACGCATGAAGAGTGGTGGACGCGGGAAGAGTGGTGGACGCAGGAAGAGTGGTGGACGCATGAAGAGTGGTGGACGTAGGAAGAGTGGTGGACGTCGTAAGAGTGGTGGACGTAGTAAGAGTGGTGGACGCGGCAAGAGTGGTGGACGCATGGAGAGTGGTGGACGCATGGAGAGTGGTGGACGCAGGACGAGTGGTGGACGCAGAAAGTCGGCACGACGGGGAGCACAGTCTGCCAGTCATTTCAGTCAGTCAACCCTCAGTACCTGGGTTTGTTCCGTGACCTACTGCTAGCGGGACTTCGACACTCCACGTCGCCTCTAAATGCACCCAGCATGGTACAAGTGCCGTGGTGACGTTACCGCCGCTTCGTGGTGAACGGCAGTTTCTGTTGTTGTTGCGTGTCGTATCAAAAGGATACTATACTCCAATTTCAGCTACCGAATATAATTCCTGTCTGATGTGCAAATTGTAAATTAACTAATCCTGGATTTCCTCTAAATCAACTCATCCTTAACTGAGTACCTAATTTGTTGCAGTCATCATCCACAGTATTCTGACTTCCTGGATTTAATTTTGGGTTCCTGGATTTTGTCCTGAAGACGCTTGAAGTATTTTCAAGCGAAACGTTGGTGTATATAAATTTGACTGTGACTGGTGAACCGAAACAATAATTGTCGCATTAAATGCCTGTACATCATGTTACGATTCTATTTGTTTGACGCTCACAGAAGATGCAATTTCAGACTTAATTAGTAGCGGAAAAAGAACAAATGGGCTCCGGGCAAAGAATTGGCCACCTCTGAAATCGGGACATATCATGGGAAGAATATATCACAAATATCGGACAAATCTGGAAAAGGAGACAACGTGTAAATGCATAGTGTTGAGTATTCATTTATTTGCAAACAAAAAAATATATTTCACCTCCTAAGATTACTTAAATATTTCCCAGGCTACCTGAAAAAGAGGACGCTCTTGGAAAAACCAGGACCTGTTAATCATCCGGGTGTCGGCCATGGTACGAACACGCCAAACCATTCCAGTTCTAATATATGCCCAATTAATGTAAATGCATTTTCAGTTCCAATCAGTGCTCACTCATATCACTTGCCAGTTCCAAATGGATGCTCGCTAAACATCGCAAGCCTTTGTTCAGTCTACCTTCGGGCAAGTCATTAGCCATTGTATCTTTAGCCTTCCCAATTTGATGCAGGGGTCATCTCGGTTTGGCAAATGGCGATGCATTTGAAGTGAATTCACGAGATACGTGTGCTGATCAGTCATAAAGTAAACCATTTTTATTTTCATAGGAAAGGCCCACTGAGCTATGTAGCTCTTTTTCAGAAGAAACATGGCTACGATAATAACTCAACGAAGTGGCTTATCACGTGGAAATGTATAGCCACCAAATACTCTAAACGCATGATTCTAAATGTGGAGGGAAAAACGGGAGGACACAGAGAAAAATCCACTCGACCACGGGAAGAGAGACACGCAAACTCCAAATATACAGCAGGCATCAGGGTTGTGATCAAACCCACGACCTCCTGTATACCAGGTGAGGTGGTTAACATCTGGCCACTGTGGCGATAATGAGAATTCATCCAGAACCTTTATCGCCATTCACCATGCATACTCCAGCTAATTGGGTCACTGAAGGACGTTGCATGTGTGAGTGTGCGTGGGGTGACTCGTCATTACTATTTAAGGGACAGTTTGTCGTTTATTCGATGTGAGCAGAGAGCATTGTAGCATCAACTCGCGGCGCTTGACTAATTTTGTGCAAATTTCGATTTAAAGCTTTCGTGACTGCAAGGATTCATCTTCTTTGGTTCTTTCGATAAAGTCACATAGAATGAGAATAAAATAATAAAATAAAATAACACAATAAAATTCTCACGACGTTTTGGCCACAACACAAGTGGCCTTCTTCATGTGAAAGGAACAAACCTGTCGGGACGACAGAGCTTCAATGAACGCTGTTAAGATTCGCAGCGTCTTTTAAGCTGGTTGAGAGAAGTGAGGCACCTTGACAAAGGGGTTTACATATCAAACAGGAGAATTTATCATTGAAATAGCTGAGGGATTAGCTTGTGACTCGTCGCAGAAATGGCTATGTTAAAGTCAAAGCCTACACTTTCACAGAAGCACCTAGTACAAATCAAACAGGATGATTTATCAAGGAAATAGCTGAGGGATTAGCTTGTGACTGGTCACAGAAGTAGCTATGTTAAAGTCAAAGCCTACACATCCACAGAGGCACCTAGTACAAATCAAACAGGAGAATTTAGCATTGAAATAGCTGAGAGATTAGCTTGTGACTGGTCACAGAAGTGGCTATGTTAAAGTAAAAGCCTACACATCCACAGAGGCACCTAGTACAAATCAAACAGGATAATTTAGCGTTGAAATAGCTGAGGGATTAGCTTGTGACTGGTCACAGAAATAGATGTTAAAGTCAAAGCCTACACATCCACAGAGGCACCTCGTACATGGACGCCAAAGGGGCTGCAACAACTCAACTATCATACAGTAAACCGATGTGAAAAAACCTAAGTCTAAATTACATTAATGTAATAAATGTACTCAATATATTCTTCAATAAGCTGAGCTATTAACAGCAACTGGGTATACACTACACTATATAATGAATACCATATAGTAAACCAATAAAAACTAAAATATAAACTACCTCAATGTTATCAATAAACTCTATATATTCTCCAAACAGCTGAGCTACCAGCAATACGTCGTTATATATCACAATGCTATATGGCGAAAAAATGGGTGGATTCTTACCCTCAACTTCAGCACCACGGACAGCTACGAGCCCCGTTCAGACGGACGAGTCCATCCATGGTCGGAACGGAGGAGGGAGAAGAGAGACAGCTGCGAGGCGCTGTTATACTCTATGTTATAAACCATACCATTAACCGTGGTGTGAGAGGTATTAAGAGTCAATGCCAGCGAAAGAGCTGCGGTCTGAAGGTCATCGTAAAATACGATTAATTAAGAGCCGAAATGGTTTAAAACATCTTTCCAATGGTTACTAAGCCAGAATCCATCTTCTCGGTTGAAATTGTCTCCGTGCTTGTATATGTGGATGGCCTCATGAACGAATCTCTCATGGTAGCCGGTTGGCTTGCAAAGAACCTCCGTCTTGGAGAAGTCAATGTCATGTGAGCCCACTGAATTATAACAGTGATCTGCGACGGCAGAGGAGTTCGTTCTACCGTGTTTCAAGTCTGTTTTATGTTCGTGGATGCTGTCCGAGATATGTTGTTTGGTTTCTCCAATGTAGCTACTACCACAGAGGCACTTTAGTTTGTAAACGCCCGGGTACTGTATGTCTGGAACAGCATCTTTTACAGATGGAACCAGATCACGGATTTTATGTACTGTGTTGAATCGGACCTGGATCTTGTGTTTATTCAGGATTTTGGAGATCTTTTTAGTGACCCCTGCAATGCAGGGTAAGGTGATGGTTTTCAGTGGCTCCACAAGGGGATCCTTCTTCATGACTGGAGTGATGGCTTTGCGGATTGTGTAGTCGGAGTAACGATTAGCCCTGAGAGCCTGGTGTACGTGCTTGAGTTCACTGGTAATGTGTTCCTGGTCGGAAATGCATTGGGCTCTATGGTATAGAGTCTTGATGAGGGACTTCTTCTGGGATGGATGGTGGTGGGAATCCGGTTTCAAGTAAGCATCTGTATGGTTAGCTTTCCTGTAGACAGAGTGGCTCATTGAACCATCAGGTCTCCTTTTAATTAAGACATCCAAAAAGGGTAGCTTGCCATCTTTTTCGACCTCCATGGTAAATCTGATGGCTGGGTGTATGGAATTGATGTGGTCGCGGAATTGGTCTAGAGCAGGCTAGCCATGTGGCCAGATGACAAAAGTGTCATCCCAGTACCTCTTCCATAAGGTCGGGCATAGAGTGGCAGTCCGGATGGCATCAGTTTCAAATTTTTCCATGAATACGTTGGCTACAACCGGAGACAGGGGGGAGCCCATTGGGGTGCCCTCAGTCTGTTTGTAGAAAGTTCCATTCCAGGTGAAGTATGTGTTGGTTAAGCAATGTCTCACCAGGGGGGTACATCAGTATGCAGTCCTTGATTAACCAGGTCTTCAATGATAGCGATGGTGTGAGGTACCGGAACTTTGGTGAACAAGGACACCACATCAAAACTGACAAGCAGGTCGTCTGGTGAGTAGAATTTAGTACCGCAAAGGTGGTTTTTCCAGTGAAAGGTCGCAGTATATCAGCAAGAAAACGTGCCAGTTTATAGGTGGGGGAGTTGATAGTAGAGACGGTGGGACGAATGGGTGTGTCTTCTTTGTGTATCTTTGGAAGGCCATATAATCTTGGTGGTCTGGCAGCAGAGGGTTTCAACGAGAACTGTTTGGTCTGATAAATTAATGCTGTTGAATCAGAGATGATTTTGTTCGTTTTGGTAACCAGGCTGTTGGTGGGATCTCTCTTTATGTTTGTATTGCTGCCATCGTTGAGTAGTTCTTGAATTGTGTTGACTTTAACATAGCCATTTCTGTGACCAGTCACAAGCTAATCCCTCAGCTATTTCAATGCTAAATTATCCTGTTTGATATGTAAACCCCTTTGTCAAGGTGCCTCACTTCTCTCAACCAGCTTAAAAGACGCTGCGAATCTTAACAGCGTTCATTGAAGCTCTGTCGTCCCGACAGGTTTGTTCCTTTCACCTGAAGAAGGCCATTTTTGTTGTGGCCGAAACGTCGTGAGAATTTTTTAGTGTTATTTTATTTTATTATTTTGTGGACCCTCTCGATCCCAACACTGTGAAACTTCTCCATCGAAGAGCTCGGTTCAATAAAAAAAAACAGATCCAAGAGCGGAGGCAGGTCTAAACACTTTCCAAAAAAGGAATACATTTTTTTAATATTCTGTAGTCATTTTTTATTATTATTATTATAAAATAACGATTTTCTTGATCTCAAATGGTGGGCAGTTCCCCCCTCACATGCCCACTCCTTGCATCCGTCACTGTGGGAACAACACCATCCTACCCCGAACTCTCACCGTCCGCCACGACCACTGCTGTGCACTCCCGCTCCCCACCATCCATCCACAACCTACTCCACTGCCCACTCACGCCGCGTCTTACTGAAAAAAAAACAACTCGGCTTTAGC